AAGGAGAACAACCCTATCCATTCTGAAGGAAATCAAGCCTGAGTGCTCACTGGAAGGGCAGATCCTGAAGCTGAGGCTCCAGTACTTTGGCCATCTCATGAGAAGAGAAGACTCCCTGGAAAAGACCCTGATGTTTGGAAAGTGTGCAGGCAAGAGGAGAAGGGGACGACCGAGGATGAGATGGCTGGACAGTGTCAGTGTAATCGAAGCTACCAACACCAGGAGGCAGTGGAAGACAGAGGAGGGCCTGGCGTGCTCTGGTCCACAGGGTCACCAAGAGTAGGACACGACTTAACGACTAAACAACAACGAAATGTAATACCGACCTTTCCGGGCTTCAGCGCTGCCTTGGCGCGGCCAGCAATGAATGCCACGTGGGCGGCAGCGTGAGCCAAGGCTGCGGCCCAGCGGCTCCTTTCCTGCGCGGCGAGCCAGCCAGCGAGCAGCGGGCGCGCCCCTTCCTGCTCTTGCCGCCAGCCGGGATCCTTCCTAGTGAAAGGGGCTTGTTGCGTTGCCCGCCCGCCCGCCGGCCGGCCGCCAAGGGACTCGGCGGGACCGAGTCAACCCAGTCAAGGCGCTGGAGACCGGCAGGGACCGTGGCCCGGCCTCGAGGTGCCCGCAAAAAGCGTCGTGCGTGAGGCGGAGAAAAGCGAGGGAGGAAGGGGGTGGGATCCTGCCGCTTGCGTTTCCCTCACAGGAAACGGGGGCATCTGTTGAGCTTTCACCAGGCAGCCGGCGGTTAAAGCAACGAGGCTCTTCCAAAGCAGGGGAGGGACCCGCACCGGTGGGGGAGCGCGGCTCCAAGAGGAACTTGGACTGCAACTCCCAGCAGCCCCACTTGGAAAGGCCCGTGGTGGGGGATGATGGGAAGTGCATGCAACATGTGGAAAGTCTCCCCTTTCCGAGTCTGAGACGGAAGCGAATAAAAATAAATCAGGACGCAGCGTTTGCAACTTAGTTCAAAGCAGACCCACCTGTTGCAGCTTTCCAAGCTGGTTCTCACCCTTCGCCGCCCCTGCCCAAGGCAGCAGGGATTGGAACAAGCCTGAAGGTGGCATCCTGCTAGATTTTGCAACAGAATTTTGTAGCCCTGGAGCAAAACTGGGATCGAACCAGATTTTTTTTAAAATATATTTTATTGGGGTCGGAGGCGGACATACCGTAAATGCCTTGGTTAGTTCTTGCTTTCCACACCCGACGTACATCTATTTTATATAGATGGAACAGTACCCCAGCAATCAGAAGGGATTTGAAGGTGCCTCATACAGGTCGGGGATAAATTTGCAGCCCTCTAGACCTGGAACTGCAACTCCCAGGAGCACTAGCTGGTACGGTCAGTTGTAAGGGATCATGGGAGTTGCAGTGTGACACTGGCAGTCCACAGGTTCCTTGTGGGAGGGATGAAACCTTAAAGGTGCAGACACGACTTTCAAGGCATCCCTTTAACTTCTGGCCTCCATCGGATGTAGCTTGAAATCGACAAGTGGAGGTAGTTTTGTATTTTGACTGGAAGAGCCTTGCCTGAGCATACTTTTAGATAGTACTTTGGGGCTAGCATGATAACATATCACTGTCTACATACATGGTTTCTTTTTTTTTCACCAAACAAGACCAGCAAAAAGAGGCATTAAAATTACTGTAAAATACAACAGAAATCTGAATACGTACAAATATTCTTGTATTTATAAATTAAAGTCATTATTGCAGGTTTGGGGCTTTGTTTTCTTGCAGCACATTTGCACAAGATTAAATATTAGAATGTTCAACATTTTGGATAGGAAGCTATCAACACAGTGGATTCATCTATCATTATGCTGCACATACCTACCTGGGACAGTTGAAAGGGAACACCCAAAGAAAGCTATGAACCAAGGCCTCACTAACATCATGCAGAGTCCTTGAAGGGTTTTTAAAAATACAAGCAAGAACCTTCTTTTCTTCTCTCGTTTGCTCCTTCCTGCCTTTTTGCTGGCCAGGTGGAAGAGTTGATGCCTGGATTATGGGAGATGAGAACTAACTAGAGGCTGTTAGTACAGTCAGAACTATAGTAAACTGATTTGCATCAAGGATTATAATTCTGTTGGGTTATGTTAATTACCCAAAATGCCTGTGTATGTTTGTTTCTTTTACCACTCCTGTATTTTTTTCAAGTGTTGTGCCCAGAGATGTGCCTCTATGATTTTTCTGTCTTCGATAATAAAAATCAAGAAGTATCAAATCTGTTACATAGCTTTATAGCAAATGTCTTGATTCGAAGCTGTATTAGATATATGTGGCAATTGTGCCATTGCACTATTGTTTATATATTTGCAGACAACACTCGGAACTCAATTCCTAACATTATCAATCCCTAAGTGCCAGGACAATTAGGGAAAAAATTGAAAGCCTCATTAGTAAGATTTAACAGCAAAGAGTCTGAGTGTTTCAATGGCTTGAACAGAAGTACTGCTACTAGTTGGGTGGGATTAAAAAGCAAATAATGGATAGTAGCAACATTTTAGCAAAGTTGTATCCTGTAGCTAAGGATTACTTAATCAAAATATTTAATAAATAATCCAAACGACAGTAGTTGTGCTGGATAGAGAAAGGCAAAACCCTGGCCCTGATTTCTGAAAAGTACTTTTGGAGACAATGGTGCCTGTTAACTGCAATTTCAAGGGTGCTGTGAATCTATTCCAAGTTTTAGTCTGCTCTTAACAGGAGTGTTGAATCTAATCCTCAAAATAAGTTCACTGCCTTGGATAACTCTAAAGGAAACCAAACATGTACTCATTGTGCTCCTTAGAACTTCTCTCTGCTTGGATGGGTAGAGACTTTTGAGTAGTACTTTTTGCTAAACTGGAAGCCCAGTTTCTTTCACTGTCATAACAGAGAAAATGTATGTGCCAGCTAACACCTTTTTTAAAAATTCTATTTAACCCACTAATACCATATTCTTCTCATTTTTTTAAATCATTAGATGTTCAATGAGGTAAGTATCTGGTTGCAGAGCCAGCAGTTGGGAACACTGTGCATCCTGGGAGAAGAGCCACTCTATGTAGCCTTAGGCAAGCTATGCAGTCCTAGGCAACTATAGAAGGCAATAGTAAACAACCTCGGTGTATTTTATACCTGGAAAGGGTTGCCATAAATCAGAATTAACTTGGCAGTATGTTGTTGTTCCATATTGCATATCAAATCACAGAATTATTATGCATTATAAAACATAAAATAGAAACTGCAAACTAAAAACCATTTTCTCTAGAGTAGTTCCATTACAGTCAGTGGGATTTCTCCAGTGTTTGTGATACTGTAACTGCAGTCAAGAAAATCAAGGAAGCCATGATCAATTTTGGAAAATGTTTTCACCTTGTTTTTAATTAATCTTAATACCTTACATAGTTTCATTGACCCCCAAACAGAGTTTGAACATGGTTTGCAAATACTGTAGGTATTGAAGCAAAGGCAAAGCTTCACAGTTGCTTAAGTGTACTAAAGGACAATGCCTTCTGTACCACTGTTCATCTGGGATTGGAGGCTATGAAATATAATCTTGATGTCATTTGCCCATGCTAACTCACATTATATTCTTTTTCCCCTAAAGCATTTCCCACAGTCCTGGGCACATACAATCTTTTCAAATATTGTGACTTACCTTTGGAATAATGGTTCACTGGGACCACAACTTTGAACCATCATTGGTTATATTGCGGACATGTCTGGGAGTTAAAGTCCAACATCTGAAGACTGATGCTTGGGTACCAATGCCCTAGGTCTGTCTTGTAGCAAAATGAGAGACTATCTACATTTTTCCATCACAGGGTGATTTGGATTGGGGAAAGAACCAATGGAAAAAAGTATTAAGCAGTCTCTATATGCCCTGACATTCTTTTACTCAAAGTCACAGCAGTTCAAAACTGTTGTGGTTTATACTTGAAATCATGTGCCAGATCCAGTGTCCGTTCAGCCGTATACAGACTTATCCAGGAGTCTGTGCCACATAAACCACTGGGTTTATTATTGAATAAATATACATAGGATCAGAGTACAAAAATTTTGGTTCCAGCTGTAACTTTTTTTAAAGATACTATGTTTGAAAGTTTTCTATTAAGTAAATTTGTTGTTTTTATAGTGCTATCCCATGTTGTAAGCCGCCTAGAGTGGTCTATCGACTAGATAGGCGGGATATAAATAAAATGAATAAATAAATAAATAAATAAAATAGTTTGATTTAATTAAATGCTTTTTACTCCTTGACAGATCAGAACTCATTTTCTAATTTTTATGAATCAATACTTCAGAAAATATTTCCAGCCCAATCTTCTTATTGTGGTACTTAGATGAGAGATCTGATTTTAAAGAACTTCACTTTCAGTCATTCTACATTGTGCATCTGAATGGAGTGCTACAGGGTAGCCTAAAATGTGTGCCTCCATTGTTCTACCACATGTTACCAATCCAGCATGATCCAGGAAATCTGTAATCAGAAAGATGTCCTGTGGTTTTTTAAAAACATCAAGAGCAGAAGTGGGAGGCTACAATTTGGATTGGGGGAAGATACTGGGAGAGGAGAGGTTAACCCCTCTACCTTCCTGTTTCAAAATTCCTAATCTGACATGCTCCATGCAGCTACCACTAAATATCCTCCTGCAGGCCAAATGGTGACTCTGTGGCAGCGATCCAGATTAGGAAAGTGGCAGGGCCCTTCCTGTACTGTGTTGCCCAGCTGATATGAAGAAAGGTACACAATTCAGGGTGGGCCTGTCCCTGTTGTCCTTCCAATGGCAGAAAAAGCTTTTTTTATTTAGGTAGAAGCCTTTGGCTACTTATAGCATGCAAAAGATAGGAGTTTTAAATGGATTCACTGATTTTCCTACATTTTTATTTTAAATTTTATTTTTATTTTTAACCTTCACTGAGAAGTTTTAACTATTTAAGTGTGTTTTAACATTATAAGTGACTTGATTATATTTTAATATTTTGAACTTTCTATATTTTACCAGGGACATAATATGTTTTTCACCACTTTGGGGCATCTATCACATGTCTGCATAGACACCTAAGTGCACAACCAAGCGCATGACAGGACATGTTAAAACACATGGCAGACAGATTGCACATGTACACCAGTTACTTGATCTCAACATTATGTGTGCTTTGGCTTCTCGTTGACTTTCTCTATGGCTACAGTTGGTCTTTAATCAACCCATCAGGAAGAATTCATCCTTCAGAATTCCATTGAAGGACATATAAAAATGCTCCAGGAATGCAGAAGGGTAAATGAGGAGTGGGATCATCTGGGGAAGAAATCTGGTGCTGATTTCATCATACTAGTTTGGATCATCTTTGCAAGATTGGACAGAGAATGGAGGATTGGCTGTTACGTGCTTTAAGAGTAGTGTGGTCATGGTAGCTTTTAAATTGTTCTGTACACTATGTATCAATATGACAGCAAATCTCATAAATGCCAATTCTGCATGTGACACAGCAAAAGTAGATATGCAAGCCAGTTAAAATGATCCATCTTTTAGTACAGCAGAGACAAAAGTACAGCAAACACATAACAAACCCAGAGCCAGTGGGAGCCTTTCTTCTTAATTCACAGGTTTTTCATTCAGCAGCCAGAATCATATGTTTGTTACTCTTATTCAAGCATTGCATCTCAATGAATGCCATGTATTTAGTGACGCCCACTCTTCTGGTGTACTTGAAAAAGGTTTTGGTTATGGTCCTCTTCATTCATATATACAACCCCCAGTAAAAAAAGTTGAACACGATATATACAATTGGAAATATAATTCTGGAATATGTGTCAATAACATGGTTGTTCTGCAAAATAATTCTGCCTACATTTCCTCGCAATGATCTCTTCCTCTTAATGCGAGGTGCATCTGGGTTGGCAATACTAGGTGCTCGTTCCCTTGTCGAACTCTCTGTGGAATGAACTGAAAAGGTAGTGAAGTCGATGTCAGGATCTGGTTCATGATAACAGCCATCAAAGGCCATTGCTTGCACGGTATCAATGTTATACTGTCCAGCAGCCTACAAAAGAAAGGATTACTAGCAGAGCAGGATGATAGAAGAGCAAGAATGCACAGAAAAACAAAGACCATTTCAGCAGTAATTGTACTACATAATGGCTGGAATTCAGTACTACATCATAACTAGAACAGATCCATTTAATAACGGAAGATCTTGTGAGTCAATGCCCATGTAAGTTCTGTTGATTCAGTGGGCTTACTCTAGTTGTGAATTACTGCTGGCTTTCAACCAATTTTTTTAAAGTTCCCTCTTTCAGAGTAATGTGATAAAAGAGTATCAATGGTAAGGATATTTTCACCATCTAAAATGCATCAATCATTATTTGATGCTGTTAGTGGCTTAAATTTTGTTGTTGATTTACATGTGCACAATGAACTACCACTAACTAATAAGGCACTGGCCAAGTTTATGAGGGATACATGTGTGTGTGTGTGTAATTGTCTGCAAAAAGGTACAGTAATATGAATAGCATCTGATTAATTAATGACAATTTGTGATGACGAGTTACACAATTTACACATACATATAAATTGCTAATTGGATTCTGGCCATTGTATAATAAAAAACAGAGAAGCTTTCCTTTTTTAAAAAAATTCACATTCAAATGTTAAAATGTCAGTCTTGAAGACTAGAAAATTATTGTTGTATTGTTATCACTGTTATGGGTTCCTCTCTCTTTCCTTGACAGTCTAAACGTAATTTTAAAATGTAAAAAAAAAGTAATATAACACAAACAAATGTATACCTTCCCTCTCTTTTTCAGTTGTTTTCGTTCTTCTACTGTGGTGAGATAATTTACAGCTGCATATTCAATGACAGAGAGGAAGACAAAGAGAAAACTGATCCACAAGTATACATCCACTGCTTTTATGTAAGACACCTGAGGCATTGAGGCACTTACTCCTGTGATTATGGTTGACATTGTTAGCACAGTAGTTATACCTGCCAAAAGGGAGGGGAAAGGACATCAGTTTGCTGTTGTGTTTTGCTAAAATATACATTAAAATTGGTGGTGCATATGATTGGTGTCTGCCTTCCACTGTCAGAAAATATAGAATATGTAATAAGAAATTAGGGCCAAACTATACAATACAAACAGTCCATCATTACAAGCTAATATCCATTAGTGTTCCAAAGACCTGATTCAGGGCAGAGTTCTGTGTTTAAGGAACCATGCTTGCACATGAAGCCTTTGCATATCTCCCAATGACCAATCACAAAACAAGTTACTTTGCAGATTCCAGGATATGTGAAAAGTTCCTGCTGTGACAGACTCAATGAGATAAATTGCACTGCAGGAACTACATGTTGTGTTTTGTTTAATATAGTAATCCTGACAGTTAAAATGCTAGTAAAAAGTAACTATCTTCTTGAGAAACATACAAGTTGTACATGTTATCCTCAAGCCCCTACATCTCAGATGTAACAGGTATAAGCACAGAAATATTAAATTTCTTTTCTCAGTAATGAAATAAGTGTTACATCACTTAGGAAGAGAAAGATATTAATAACACAGATAGGCAGCATCTGTAAGCTACCTGTAAAGCCAACATATTCAAACTACTGTTAAGCTTTTCTTAATAAAATATCTTCAGATGCAGCCTTACCTAGTGATACTCTTGCAGGAACAGCTCTTCGGTCAATCCAAAAAGAAACCCATGACAGCATTACCATCAGCATAGATGGGAAATAGGATTGCAGAACAAAAAAGAATATATGCCTCCTCAGGGCAAAATTTATGAAAAGCCGATTGTACCAACCTGTTGAGAGATCACACTATGTTTACTAACATTTGTTGGCAACCCATTCTTTCTTTCACCCAACAGCCTTACTAAGAACTATATACTTCCCATACTCTTTATTTATGTCAATATTTTTCTTTGATAGTGACCTGTAATACCGCAGTGTTCGCAATAGGGATCAGCTGGAAGTTGTCAGTATCTAGCATCATATACAAATATGGTAGTTTCATTCCTTTGCTTAATTTTTTTTTCCACTGGAACACAAGGAAGCTACCTTCATAGGTCCATTTAGCTCAATAATGTCAATATTGAACAGCAGTGGCTTCCCAAACCCTATCTGGGTAGAGTGAGGATTGAACCTGTGACTTTCTGCATGCAAAATATTTGCTTTACTACAGGATATAAGCTCAGGACCTCATTTAGGCGCCTCATCATTTAAGGTGGAAGATACATCACTCTGGACAGGATTATTGAAGTAGAATTTTCCTACACAGACAGCAAAATACCTAAAGCAACTCTTTGGGTTCTAGCCATGGTATATTAAAGAGTTGCTTTAGGTATTTTGCTGTCTGTGTAGGAAAATTCTACTTCAATAATCCTGTCCAGAGTGATATATCTTCCACCTATTGCCATAACAGATAGATTGCTTACTGTTGTTTTAGATAGACTGCTTACTGTTGTTTATTCTTAATTGGGATGTCTATAAAGACTAGGCCTATCATTATTAGGCAGAATGGGGCAAATAGCAATGGTAGAAAACCCTCACCTCCACTTGCTCTTCTTCCTCTTCATGTTTCTCCAATGAACTAAGACGGTGAACACAACTGTCCTCTGCCTTGTGAGGTAGGTCAGCCTGGGAAAGAGTGGCTGGCCCAAGGTCATCCAATAAGTTCTATGGCTCAGTCAAGAAACTGAACTAGGTCCCAAGTCTAACCACAACTGACCTTACTGAACCGGATGCATGGTTCTTTGGAAAAGAACATAGAGGTACATGTAAAATTATTACTTTGTGAACAACAGGAAAATGCAGATGCCCAATTATATATTATATATGCAAAGTGTTACAGGGACTGTATTTCTGATTAGCTACATATGTGTAGCTTTTCTATGCCTTGTTACTGAGCAACCTAGGTAAGAATTGGTAGTCCAAGCTAAATTGCCACATAAGAGGAGCAGCAAACAGCATCCGTCATACAACTAAGTCAAGTTACCTTGTATTTAAAGTGAACCATGCTAACCTGTTTCCTGAAAAATAAGACCTAACCTGAAAATAAGCCCTAGTATGATTTTTCAGGGTGCTTGTAATATAAACCTTACCCCAAAAATAAGCCCCAGTTAAGTGGAACCCTGCCTTCCACCATTGTGCAGCAACTAGAAGAAAATGATATGACTGGATGTGAATAAGTGTAGAATGCTGTACATTTTCTAAAAATCCCCTGAAAATAAACCCTAATGGGTTTTTGGACCAAAAATTAATACAAGACCCTGTCTTATTTTTGAGGAATCACAATGTAGCATTCTCCATTTATTAGATCTATGGTTCTTGTTGTATTATGTAATGGTTTATGAATATTCATGTAGCTGAGAGGTAGAGTCAAGAGAGATGCTATAAGAGGCGGGGTCAGAGAGTCAGAGAGCTGTTTAAGTCACATAGAGTCAGTTAGAGAAATGTAAGAGTCAGGCGGGAGAGAAAAGCCAGACAGAGTAATAGAGTGTGTAGTTTGGGAAATTTAGGTGTGATTAGCTATTAAAGATATTTATGAATCTCTGTAATCAATAAAGCAAAGATTTATTTTAAAGAAATTGAAGTGTGGACCTGAATCTTTCTGAAGTAATGGTGATTTAGAGATCACCTGGTGGCAGCAAGTGTAAAAGAAGAGAGTGTTTGCCTTCATGTGCTCTGGGGCTTGAAGGTCAAGCAAAGGGGCACGAGGGTGGACGTCACACACAGTAATAACCACGGGAAGCTAAAAATCCAGCAAGTTCATTTCTCCATCCCTAGTAGTAAAAAACACTAACAACAATATAATGACAAATCTAATTCATAACTTCTTGCATTCTTCTCAGTCTTCTATCACCATTGTTGCTTTTTTCAACTTTGGATGTAGCAAAATTAAACAGGTATGTTAGTTCTAAACTAGTATCTCAGGTTATTCGATCCATACATTCCTCTCTCCACTGCACTTTATTTATTCTATCTTGAATTACCAGCTGCAGCATGTACTTTTCATTTTTCATTATGTGACGGAGGTGTTCTAGCTTTTTGCATTTTATATGTTCTAAGATTTCTTGGTCTTTATTTAATCTCCATTGTATTTCTGCATTTATCATCCTCTCATGTTATAATAAAACCACAATTCCATTGCTTGTATTTTTTTTATAGTACCCTGTGTTAAAGTTAGACGATCTAAAATTATATTCTACTGGGGTCTGTTGCTACTAGAATGCTTCTCTGGGGCATTTCTATTCTGGATTTTATTACGTAGCTATGATCCCACTGTTTATTTTACTAAATTCCAAGGTGCACTTTGCACTTTCATTTTGAATCCTTAATTGCTGTTCTTCTTGATTTTTATTGATTACCATTAATTTGGCTACCTTTGGTTACATTAATTTCCAAACCTAGTTAATGACTTGCTTCATTGACATTATTGGTTAACCTTTGCAGACTATATAGCTAGCTAGTAATACTGTATTGCTTGCAAAATAGATGTTGTTGATAACCTCTATTGAAAATTATGCATTTACTGTATTTGAATCAGCAAGTGTACTGTATATTTAAAGATGCTCACAAGTATAAAATGAGAATCGATAGTAGGACTGTACATTTTTGCTATACTGCTCTTTATATCTCTGTGTTCTCTGTCATTTGATCCTTAACATTCATTACAGATTTTTATTATAGTACAAATCTCCAATTGTATGACTATCTCTTGAATGGAGATCTTTGTTGCCAACAACAGTATCAGCTTGCCATCTTGGACTTTGTTTAAAAGAAAAGTATATGACACCAAAACTCTGCTGCCTAAGGGAGTATCTTCATTCTGCCTGATGGTAAAGCCGCCCCTGGTTGGGAATGAGTGTTGTTAGACTTCGGCAGCACAGAAACCAGTGAATAGAATTTACTGATTAAATCCTGGCTACCATATGCTCACTAACACAGTTCTTCCACCTCTAATGAGTAGAATCAGAACAATGTAAAAGAGCAGGGCTATTGCTAAATGATCATAAGTTGTTTTTGTTTAAACACAGTGAAAAAAGCAAGCTGAACACAACTACACAGAATTACAATTAACCCAAAATTAACTTCACAATGACAAACACAGTTAGCTCTCCTATCCCTGTGAAAAGCTTTCTGAGTAATTTGGTAAGCATAATTTTCTTCACTGTTTTACTGTTAAACTAAGCATTTAATTGTTAGATCAACCCCACTATCCAGGAGAGACACTGCCATCTAGTGAATTGCCAGCACAATTCTATGGGACTGATGTTAAAGGAATTAAAAGATACTGTAACTGCAAAAGCAGATTTCTCCTTATTATGGTGAAAGTCACAATGTGTTATATGTCACTTTAATAATCCTGTCTAAAGTTATGCATATCGTGTACATCATCTCTGCCACAACTAGCTCTATTATTAGAGCCTTCCAGCTATTTCCCCCTAGCTATTAGTACAAGTGTCAAAATAGGCAATACTTTTATAGATCACTAAAAATCATTGTGCAGTTCACAAGCTTTCTTGGATTAAAACACCACTTCATCAGGTTTGTACCAGTGCGAAGAATGTAAAGTCCTAACATACATGGCATGATGGATTTTGCCAAGCACTTTGCTCTCGGATGAAAAGTTCAAAAAGTTCTTGGCAAGGTGGAAATCGCAAGGCGTGTCTCTCTTAGAAGTCTCTCTTGGATGTACGTCTGAAGACTGGTTGCTGTTTAATAGTTACAGCTTTGGCATTTGTGGATTGAGTGTGACAACCTACAGTAGTTCTCCAAACAAAAAGCACAGGCTGTGTGTGTACACCCATTTACGGCCTTTCTTCGAAACAGACATGTTTCTCCTGAGCCATGTGTGTGTGTGTCTGTGTGTGTGTGTCTGTGTGTGTGTGTGTGTGTGTGTGTGTGAGAGAGAGAGAGAGAGAAAAACACACCTGAGTCCTCCATCTGAGAATTGGGGAGGTAATTTAGTAAACTTACTAGGTGTAGCCAATTGGGGTCAAAATAAAGCCAACATGATATTACCTAGTGACTGCAGTTCTGTTCTGCTGATGTCCAGAAGTCCATGTGTTTTCTTGTTGGTACACGGGGGGTGGTGTGGTGTTTCTCAGTATCCTTGTAGTACCCTAGTAGCTAGTTTCCTGCTGTTAGATGAAAAACTTGTTTGGCACTCACTAAATTAAGTGGTTGCCACTCATTTCAAATTTTAGGGTCCTTGAAGAAATTTCTTCTCTCAAGTCTGACCATAACTGGAGAAAGGTTTCATGGGGATGTGAGAGAGGGTGAGCAATGTGTGGCCTACAGACTGAATAGGTCCCAGAGGGGCTCAAAGGCAGCACCCCTGCAAAGTTTTATTGTTCAAAATATCCCCTTGTACACTCCAGAGCAAATTTTTTACATCTTGGGGCCCTCAGCATTCCTGTCCTCCAAATATACTTAAAAAACAAACACTGAAGTGTATGAAGGAAATTTTTAAGTTTTAGAAGTCTTATGACATACCTGTACTGCTGTAGAATGCCAATCCACTAGAAGCACTGAATTCTTCAATGAAGAACTGGGAAAGAGAAATATGTTCATCTGTGCTGAGGGATTCATTCCCATGCTTCCAATACAGCATCAAGTCATCTTCATTGTAGGCATCTGTAGGACAATTTCTTTAAAAATTAGTATACCATCCTCTTATTTCTGGTAGATGCACACACAAAACATGTCCAAGGAGTGTACCTCAGCAGACTTTGTTGTAGATCGGGTGCCATTTGCACTAAATAATTTGCACACTGACAGACAGCTATGGACATGTCTTAAATAATGGGCACATTAGAAAAATATTTGAAATAAGTATGCCTTTCAAATGTGCACAAGACACTTCATTCAATGGGAGAAGTTGATTTAAGCAATGTGCATAATTTAAATCATACATACATTTGGAGAACAATGCATAAAAGGCATGGATTGGGCTGTTTTCTAAATATACCTACACAATAGGGCACGTCCAGATGTGGAGGTGGGAACTGGGAAAAAGAGGAAGTCCATGCAATGGACTTCATAGGTGTCCCATCCCTAGCATAGATGTTTCTTTAACTTGCAATGGATTAGATGACATCTGGAAATATCTGTCTCTGTAGGTGGAGACAGTTTGGTTGCTTAAACAAAGCTCATACTTTAAGAGGAGAAGAGTCCACGGGGAAGACCAATTCCCTCTGTTTTGGCAAAGCAGCAGGCCACCTGAGAGTAAATTTGATTCCAAGCATCATGTCTTAAAAATCCAATCTTCCTCCACTCGTCATGAGGGTTTATCACCTCTAGTTTGATAAGAAACATAGGACTGTGGTGCTATATGTAAATTCATGGTCCTCTACTGCCATAAATTCTATCAACATGGGGAAAATGTTCTTGTATAATTCTCTCCTATGGGAAGTGGCTTTCATTTCCTCTTATAAGGAGGCAGGAGGTTTGCACTATAGGTACAAGTTCTCCTACCTACTTCCTTTCTCACCAGTTTACCACCAGCTTTGGATATAGCTGTAATTCTTTGTAATTTTGTTTTCTGGTTTTTTTTTTCCATCTCAGTATTCTTAATCTTTGTCCTCAAGTTTCCCAAGGTGAAATTGCAGTGCAATTCCTATGGGTAGGCACAATATATACCATGTTTCCCTGAAAATAAGGGAGATGATCACTGAAGAAATATTTTGCATTAAAAATTAAATAAAACTGCCATGAGAACTTGATGACAAGACTATATTAGGTTTTGGACATTCTTTAACATGGACCTGTGTAATCTTCCATCTCATTATAATGTTAATAACTGGCAGCAACCAAGTCTTCAGACAGATCAATAACATTCAGTAGCATCCTTTGCTTTTGTTAATATTGCTGTTAAGTAAAACTAAGAAAAGTTAGAACAAATCTCAAATTCTTAAATCACTCATATATCTTGCATCATTCATGATAATGCTATGGGTATGGAGAATACATAATGCCATAGTAGAAACAAACTCACAGCTTTCCAGCTCTAGAGAGCAGTTCTGAGTGTCCAGTGGGAACCTACTGAAGTCCATGAAGCACATGGCGGACACTGTTATCCTGTCAAAAAGCCAACAGAGGAGCATATCTGAAATGTTATGTGTCTCTATTACAGCTTTGTTATACTGTATATGAGAGTACTATAATCTGTGAAGACAGATTTCATGGGATTCCTATATTCCTCAGACAAGTCTTTTTTTCCTTATTATAGTTTAATCCAGAAGTAAAAAAAATATAATGCTGCCTTGGAAAAATCCACGGGGAAGACCAATTCCCTCTGTTTTGGCAAAGCAGCAGGCCACCTGAGAGTAAATTTGATTCCAAGCATCATGTCTTAAAAATCCAATCTTCCTCCACTCGTCATGAGGGTTTATCACCTCTAGTTTGATAAGAAACATAGGACTGTGGTGCTATATGTAAATTCATGGTCCTCTACTGCCATAAATTCTATCAACATGGGGAAAATGTTCTTGTATAATTCTCTCCTATGGGAAGTGGCTTTCATTTCCTCTTATAAGGAGGCAGGAGGTTTGCACTATAGGTACAAGTTCTCCTACCTACTTCCTTTCTCACCAGTTTACCACCAGCTTTGGATATAGCTGTAATTCTTTGTAATTTTGTTTTCTGGTTTTTTTTTTCCATCTCAGTATTCTTAATCTTTGTCCTCAAGTTTCCCAAGGTGAAATTGCAGTGCAATTCCTATGGGTAGGCACAATATATACCATGTTTCCCTGAAAATAAGACAGGGCCTTATAATAATTGTTGCTCCAAAAATGTATTAGGGTTTATTTGCAGGGGATTTTTTTTAAAAAAAAATTACAGCATTCTACACTTTGAAATAGTGAATATTTTCAAAACTAGATGAAATATATCTTGTAAAGTAATAATAACAATAAAAAGAATAATGTATATGTTTTGCAAACATCATCCCAGTAATTTCAGAATAGTGATCTACTGTACTATGCTTATTTTCAGGTTAGGTCTTATTTTGGGGAAAACAGGGTACTCCATATGTTTTGGACTGCAAATCCCATAATTCCTGACTTGTAGTAATGCTGGCTGACCTTATAAGGGTTGTAGTCAAAACACTGAAAGCACCAGGGATACTGTGTGCTTCACAAAATGGATTTGCAACTGGCATTTTCTTCAAACTTCTTGAAACAATAAGTAAAGTGAAAAACAGGAGAAATGACTATTTGGAGCCAGACCATATGTTTTGGACTGCAAATCCCATAATTCCTGACTTGTAGTAATGCTGGCTGACCTTATAAGGGTTGTAGTCAAAACACTGAAAGCACCAGGGATACTGTGTGCTTCACAAAATGGATTTGCAACTGGCATTTTCTTCAAACTTCTTGAAACAATAAGTAAAGTGAAAAACAGGAGAAATGACTATTTGGAGCCAGAACCTGACAAAACATCCAGTGAGCAGGCAGACAAGCTGGCTCTTGTGAGGCCCAGGTCAGTTGCTTATTTAGCCAGGAAGAAGAAACGCTTTTACACCTCTACTAGGTAAAGGGATAAGGCCAATGGCATATATTTATCTATGGAGCTACTCAGGAAAATGAGAAGACATCATAGGCTAAGGGACCCTCTGACATGTAAGACTGGGACATTTGAAATTGTGAATATTTTCGAAACTAGGTGAAATATATTTTGTAAAGTAATAATAACAGTAAAAAGAATAATGCATATGTTTTGCAAACATTATCCCAGTAATTTCAGAATAGTGATCTACTATTCCTAATGCACAGGTGGGAATGGAGTGAGAAAGGATGATAGAACTTGTCTTGCCTAAGACTGTTTTGAAAGTTCATGACAGCAATAAAATTTGAACCATTAGAACTGCCTGTCTTACTACTCATAAATAAATAAATAAATAAATAAA